GACTTGGTTGGTGTGGTCAGTGTCATTCAACGTTTTATAAATAATGCTGAGCACAAGTCTCATTAATCTCTATTACAAGCAGAGATCTTGAAAAAACAGGGGGATGCAGTGGATCTTTGAAAACTATCGTCCTATATATATATTTATATTCTTTGTTTGTAATCTCAGAGACCCTAAGAATTTACATGTAAAAAAGATGAGAAAAGAATTTGTAATTTGCCAAAATTATTCAGATGTTGCCCTCTTTTTTTAAGGTTCAAAACCCAATAGGTTGAAATTTTCTAGCATTGTATGCACTTCTTAGAAATGTACATAATAATTTTTTAACATAATATAGAAACATTATTTAAAAAAAATATTCACAAACTTACCACAGCAAAAACATAGTAGAAAAATACAAATAAATAAATGAACAAATAAAAACAAAGTGAGAAAATTAGAAAACCTTATCGTGTAAAAAAAAATTCTTATAATGAGACCCCGAGTAACATTTTCATAGAAGATGATTAGTGCATGTTATCAAGTTAAGATCTTGTTTAGAAGCAGTTTGCATAAAATTAGGAAAAGTCAACTGATTCTTAAATGTTACGCATGTTTTTTTTGTTTTTTTTAGATGTTAATGGAATGTTTAAACATAACCTGCAGGTTAATTTGAATTAAAAAGACAGTAATTAAGTGATTAGACAAATAAACTAAATAATTAAATAGACATACTGTAAATGCACTGGAACGTTTTTAAAAAAAAAGAGGGTAAATACCACCGGGTTTACCAGCTCACATCCTTTTGACTTTGAAATATGTAATGAACATCTAGGTGCAAAAACACGATCATTATCTATTACAAAAAAAAGAAAAGAAAACCTGCTCCAGGCTCATATGTGACTGTTCGCACGCAAGACTCATGCATCTGCTTTTGTGTGGTAATTTATATCTATGATATGTACAATGCATGAGAAATAAATTTATTGCATGTATTTGATTAAGTCTTCTGTGGCTGGAACACATATTTTTATCAAGCTGCTTGTAAGGTTTGGTTAATAAGACAGAATATGTGACTCGTACAGTATCAAATTGGAAAAATGATTAACTTTAACATAACATAATTTTTATTATTTGTGGCACAGTCATAACATCTGGTGTAGGATTTTGTGATTGCTAATTGTAAGACTAGTAAGCATTATGGTAAGTTTTAGATATCACACAAAAGTAAAAGAAAAACATTTAGTAAAGTTGGTGTATTAGCCTGGTTATGTGTCGAACCCTTGTTCACTTCCTCCCTCCCACTGTGGGTTCTAAGTAGCTACATCTGATCTTGTGGTGAGATGAGTGAGTTCTATACAGTGAGAAAATACCAGATAATCATAAATAATCATATTGAGAGATACAACTGTTGGGGGAAATATCCAACATATATTTCACACCTTGACCACATTTATGAAAATATGGTTAATAAATAAAAGAAAAAGAAGAAAAGAAAGGAGCAATTTATTTCTGACACAAGAAAATTGACACCAATAATAAGGTCTTAACTTAAGTGTCACCGCCATTTAAAACAGTAATATCCTATAATAAACCTAAACTAATATTGACAATATATCTTTTGAAAGCTTACAATCTGTAGGTTTCATATTTGGTGATTGATTTTCAAAATAATGTCAATTTGCTATCAATTAACTATCAATTTGCAACAAGAATATTTTTATACTCATAAGGCGTGTTAAGACCTTTATTTTGAAATAGTGATGAACATGAAAGAATGGTAGAAACCTCAGTTTGTTTTCATGGCAATAGTTCAAAATATAACATCCATTCATTTTTTTTTAGAAACAAAAGTCTGAAAATGTTTTAAATATAAAGAAAACAATTATAGATTCACCATTTGTGATGTGGCAGCGAGCTATAACGCACATGCGTGTTCTTTTTATGTGATTATTAGAGGTTGAATTCATATCAAAATATGCCAAACTTCCCTTACTACTTCTGAATAGGATGCCTACTTCATAGGCGCCCTTATATGGGCAGTAATGGAGTCTAGTTGTGAACTATGAAAAAGTTTGGTACTGCGCCCAAACAAAATCTTACGCTCATTTTTTGAGATATCAACCTAAAATTTGAAACACAACTTGTTCAGAGTTTTGGCTTTGATTTTCTTGCAGTTTTAGAGTCCACCAGGTTTTGAAAAAAATATATTTTATTTAAAATATTAATCATTAAATGTTTACATTTTCATAAACCCAAACTTCTATAACTTTTTTTCTGGTTCACTTTCTTAATTTCTGTTTCACTTTCTTCTACAAAAATCTGCCAAATGTCTTCTTTAAAACAAGACCAATCTTACTTCTATATTCCAAAGCATTCTTGAATTATATCATCTAAGTTTGTATTGTGCATTTTCATGTTTATTCAAAAAAGGGGGCACGACACTTAAGAGGTTAATTTGCAGGTTTTTATAATAGGCTCTACACTAAATAACTAGTTTTGACTGCCTTGATTTTGTTTTCAGTTGATTTTATGGTTATTTGGTGCTTAAATTCTTATATTAATCTATCATGCCTTACCAGAAGTAAAGCCCTGGGTTCTTACATCAGTAAACATCATTTGTTTTTTTTTACAAAGAGCAAGAAAACATGAAAGTGTTTTCTATAACATCAAAAGAACGTAAAAGGTTTCCCCTATAACTGGGTGAAATCACCAACAATAACTTCTACTAAGAATCTACCAGAGTCCCAAGAAATAAATGTGAACTGAATAATAAGAAAGACTTTAAAACAAAACTAGTGATGTGAGAGAGTTAAAAATCAGAACCCTCCTTCACACTATGAGTAAGAAATGAGGGGGAGAGAACGGGAAGGAAACGAGTGGAGGAACAGCAGGGTTTGGTGATTCAGGTATAACTTGTGTCACCTGTTCCTCTGTACTTTAAAGACTGAGACTTCTTCATTGACAAGTAACTGAGAGAGGAACATAACATGAACAACTGGAGTGTGTATCTCCTGGTAGTCCTTGCCTCGCTCTTTGCTTCAATGTCCAGTGCTGCTGGTGATTATGATTATGATTATAATTATGATGATGGTGATGATGATGATGATGAAGTTGGTGAGTTCTTCTTTAATCTTTAGTTCTTTTACCAATTAACAGAACAAACATTCAATATTTATTGGTTAATGTAACCTTTGATTTAACTGAGACTTGATTATACATTGTTATTTTCATATGACACATGTTTTAAATTAATAACTTTTATAATACAACAAAAAATAACCATCACTTAACTTACTTAAGCTGGACTATGACGCTATTTTCTTCTAGATCAGCTGTAAGGCAGAAACAAACTTTGTTGTATTATTTTCCTGTTATCACTGTAAAGCTGCTTTGAAACAATCTTTATTGTAAAAAGCACTATATAAATAAAGGTGACTTGACATATTTATCTATGAAGAGCTGTTAGAACAGTTTGTATAGAGCATGAGAAAAGACATGTATTAGGCAAAGTATTATGAGAATAACTCCCACATAAGCATGATTATTAGACTCATCACAAATGTGTAAAAGGTCACGGGTTAAATGTTTAGGAAATGGAGTATGTGACACACATTCTTGCCAGTATACAGTACATTTAGACAAATGTCTGATGATAATGATAAGTTTGCTGTTAAGTGACGGTGCATCACAGTGCATGAGCTGTCTGGAGACCCACATCAAAAGGCCCGAGGAGGGGGAGGCGTTTAGATGAGCTTGTATATCCTGCATACCCGACAAAGACTCACCTCAGAACACATTCATTAAATAAAAAAACCATGTTTTCGCAATAATCTTATTCATTCAGTTAATTTTAAGGCTGTTACTCATATAGGCTCAACAGAATAAGTGGACTTTCTCAGCATTTTCTGTTGTGATTCTGCTGAGTTTTTTTAATCTAAACACGAACTGAATTAATTAAACATGAGTTAATAACACGAGAAGTGCTAGCAATACAAAGTTTCAAACATCAGTTAGATTTAACAATTATAACTATAGGCTAGTAACTGTACATATTTTCACTAAGTACAATACTCACCAATTAAATAAATACGTGGACATAAAAAAAATTATTTGAGATTAAATTACAGTTTATAGTTTTACCTGTAAATGCTACTACTGTGTCCATTGCAATGTACAAACCCCAACTCATGTGAAAACAAACTATTCTGTGGTAGTGATTCCATATGAATTTGAACAATGTGATTCAAGGTCCACCCCTAAACCTAACCGTCAGTGAGGCTTAAACACTTTGTACAAAAATGTATGAAAGAGAAATTCCTAAGAATTATAGCACCAGTTTTCCAAAATGCTAAATAGTTGTGAATTGCCATGAGAGTGTGTTGCAATACACAAAGCAATCAACCTAGCAACAAGACGATGATATAGTAGCCTAATATTATTACTTAAGTCCTCAGGTCAGTGACTACAATTGATAACAGAGACAAAATGGTGGCACTTGCATTTGAATGAAGCAACAATGAGTTACGAGAGACATAGCACTGGATTCTGTTACAGTTGCGGATGAGCGGTCTGCTACAGCGTTGACATGGACAGCGATGAATATTAGGAAAACTGGAGGACACGACTGACCAATCAGAATCACATATTCAACAGAGCCATGTTGTATAAAGATATAATGTACATCCAGCTGGTTGTTATCGCAAAATAAACCCAGACATTGTGATCAGGAAATACTGAAGTCCTCCGATTTCATTTTAAATACAATTGATAAGTGATGGCAATGAGAAACTAGCATGAATGAGCGGTCTGTTATTCAGTGCTGCTAACAACAACGGTCATTATTTAGAAGTTTCAGACCACTGAATGCCGAGATTGACCAATCAGAATCAAGTATTTCAGAGAGTTGTGTAATAAGGAAAAATATTTAATAAACACATTAACATGCAAGATGATTTTTCTAATTCTGTGGAATTTCGTATGAACCGCTACTCATTATTCTGTGTTATTTTTAAGCCATGCCAGACATTAACCCGGAGAAGATTGTTTTTAAGATTAGTAATACATCACATGGTATTACTGTAACATGGCGGATACCACATCCAGAAAAAAATCCCAAATGTTATTCAACTGAAGTGGAATACAAGAGCCAATGTGTCAAAGACTGGAAGGTATTGAACACTCACAGACTTACACATTTGAGCTTCAGTAATGCTCACTTTGAGCATAGAACTGAGGCAACTGGACTTGCTTGATACAGTTTGACTGAAAAAATGCTCATGAATCTGATATAAAATGACACATGCTATTCAAAGCAAAGATGGAGAATCTTACAGTATGTTTTGCATTTTCTTATATGCAGAGAGGTCAGAGGATTGAAGTTAAACAAGAACATGATGTGTATAATTTGACCCTGTCCACCCTCAGCATAAAGGTGAATTACGATTTCAGAATAAGAATGAAGTGGTGGTGTTTGGACAAGAACTGGAGCAACTGGACAAAAGTGCAAAGTTGGGGAAACAATAAAGGTACCGTCTCTTTGTCTTTGAAAAACCATGTGTTCAGGTTCAAGACCAGAGCCTAGTTTGATAAATATGAATTAAATGGTCATTAGCCATAACTTATATGGTATATAATTTATGGTTCAAAAACAAATTTTCTTTTTACATCTCTTTATTAGCCCATACTTTCATACTAATATATAATTGTAATCAAAATGTAATGGAAAAAAAAAGTAATTGAAATAGCTCAACACAATAAATGTTTCTATTGGTTTCCCCATATTCAATTGAAAAATGCAACCTTTAATGACTTCTGCAGTCTCAAAATTATTCAACCCTCTTATGGCAAGCATCTTCAGTACTTAGTAAAACACCCTTTTGCTGTTATGACCTGCTGCAAACGAGATGTATAATCAGACACCAGCTTCTGGCAGTGTTTCTGAGGAATCTTAGCCCATTCCTCATGAGCAATGACCTCCAGTTCAGTAATATTCTTGGGCTTGCGTGCTGAAACTGCCTTCTTCAAATCCTACCAGAGATTTTCAATGGGGTTCAAGTCAGGTAACTGTGATGGCCACTGTAGAATCTTCCAGGACTTCTTCTGCAAACAAGCCTTGGTGGCATTTGAGGTATGCTTGGGATCATTGTCCTGTTGGAAGATGATGCCCAAGCTTCAGCTTCCTTACTGATGGCATGATGTTTTCTTCTAGGATTTCCTGATACTTTAATGAATCCATCTTGCCTTCCACATGCTGCAGGTTTCCAGTGCCAGAGAATGCAAAGCAGCCCCAGAGCATCACCGAGCCACCACCATGCTTACCTGTAGGCAGAGTGTTCTTTTCAGCATATGCTTCATTCTTCTTATGTCTCCAGACATACCGCTGATCCATAGGGCCGAAAAGTTCCAGCTTTGTTAAATCACTCCACAGAACAGAATCCCAAAACTTCTGTGGCTTATTTATAAGATTTTGAGAAAATTGGAACTGACTTTTCTTGTGCTTTTGGGTCCGTAGTGGTGTATGTCTTGGAGGTCTGGCATGGATTTAGTACAGGTCTTACTGTGCAAGCTGAAACCTCAGTGCCTGTTGCCACCAAGTCTTTCTGCAGGTCTTTTTCAGTCACTCAATGGTTTTTCTGAACTTGCCTTCTCAGAAATCTGGTGGCACCCGTTGATAGCTTCCTTTTTCTGCCCGGTCCAGGTAGTCTACTGTTCCTTTAACTTTGAACTTGCGAACTTTGCTTTGGAACATTTTGTGCCTTAATTTGCTATATGAAGATGACATCTTCTATTCACTTTTTGGACCATTCTTTTGACTTAGCCATATTTCTAACATGCAGTCAAACATGAAACTAGCCTAGCCAGTTCAGATAGTTCATGTGTTCTAGCTCAAGGATACCTGGTGCAACTAATGAAGCCCTTGATTAGTTGCATCAGGTGTGCTTGAGACAACACCTGTTTTGCAGATTTGTGCTGTTGTGAGGGATTCTATTCAAATAATTTTGAGACTGCAGAAGTCATTAAAAGTTGCATTTTCAGTTGAATTTGGGGAAACCAATTGAATCATTTGTTGAGCTATTTCAATTGCTTTTGTTTGATTTGTTCATGCAAACAGATGAAAGTCTGTAAATTTGGCCAATATGATTTGTAATAGGGGTTTAATAATTTTGAATACAACTGTAGATATACTATATACACACATACATACATATACCGCATCCCTCCTCCACCACAGTTCCCAAACCTTTCCCAATAACTCAAACCCATTTTCCCCACGTCCCTCCTCCATATAGTTTGCATGAAATAGCCTTCAGTTAGAAATAAACTAAACATTTTGTTCACAGGTGCTTGTATGGTAGAATCACCTGCCAGCATATGGGTTTATTTTTTGATAATTGTGCTGCCACTGACTGGCTTACTTCTTGTTTATCTGCTGACTCAACAGGGGTGAGTATCACTGACCCTTTGGTTATTATAATTTAACCAAACAATTTTTACTGAATGACTGAATGCTGATGCCATTATTTGGTCTTGAAAGAATTAGAAGACGGATCCTACCTAAAGTACCAGATCTCAAACACTTCAAAAATGAAATCATGGACATTGATCATTCTCAGGTAAGGCCATGCAAATAGAAAAAGCATTAATCTGACAGAATACATTTCAAGATGTTTGTAGTTTGTCTAGAAGAGAATTTGCATTTTCAAGCCACAGGTTCCTTCAGGGTTTATTTTAATAGCGGTTTGGGATTTATCAATATATTACAGTTTGTGTTAACATTAGCATACTTTCAGATTTTTCTTTGTACAGCATAGATTACACACAATTATTGCTAAAATGTGAATTACAACACCATTCTGTGTTCTGAGTTTTTGAAGCTCCAAAAAATGCATCGATCCATCATAAAAGTAATCCAAAAGACTCCAGTAGGTTAATAAATGCCTTCTAAAGAGAAGCAATGGGTTTTTGTAAGTACTTTATAAACTTTATAAACTATAATCACTGGCTTCCGACAACGGCCGTACACATGTTCACGTGAGAGTCGAGTTCCGGCAGAAGGGTGACCTCTGACCTGACGTAAGATGTAAGATGAATGACGTAGGCATAGCGTAAGCTTAGGTAAGAATTGACGAACGCGGAAGCACAGAGGAAAGAGCAAAACAAAACACCGCTCAAGAATTAAAAGTTTAATATAAGACAGGCGCGTCGTTAGACATGGGCATTCGGGGCTTCAGCCCCGGATGTTTTTTTTTTTAGCCCCGGATCTCAAAAAAAATAATTTATTGATAATTATTATTATTTTTTAATAATTTTGTATTTATGTTAAAAAAAAATGACCGGGTCTTTTAATCTATTCTTCGGAATCATGTATTAAAGACGATTAAAATGTGTTCAAGCAGATCAAAGTTACTATGGTTATAGTTACAGCACGCTTGCATTTAGAGTGCGCACCAGAGGAGAGAGAGAGCCTGAAAGAGCCATGTTTGTGGCTTCTGGTGGTGGTAGCTATTATGGACATTAGAGGGGGAAGGTATACTATATACTATATGAAAACTATAGTATAATGTGAGATAGAAATACAAATTTAAGTCGTTAAATTCAAGATCACATAAACGTTTCCCTCCGCTGCGGCTGTCAGTCATTCTCCATTCAGCATCAAACAGCGCGTTGCGTTTGGTAACGACAGTCAACGATGAAACTCTCTCCAAGTTGATTCAATGTTACTATTATTATACTTTATCGGACGGTAGATAAAGCTATATGGTTTCGCATAAAATGACTATATCTTGCTGGACTGTATTGCTTAATATTCGTTTCTACCGTGATCACACTGGAGAGCACTATAATTGTTCTTCACGCGCACATTAACTGAAATTTAAAACTGTTAAAAGAAAAGGCTCAATAAACTATTGCATAGATAGATACTGTTACTGTATAATACACTATGCATCGATATGCCTTTCCTTTGTGCTTTGAACTTTTCTGCGCGCTGTGACTCTGTGTTGCTTCAAGCGCATCATTCTGCGCTCGAGATGCGCATAAGCGCTGTGTGCCGCACATGAGTCTTTCATAATTATATCATAATACTTTTGCGCAATGAAAGATTATTAATAGCTTTTTTTGTTCTGTTTTGTCCTATCTATCATATGTTGCTGCCTCATTAAACAGCTGTGCTATAGGCTACATTTAAAAATGTCTTAATTTTATAGTAGACTATATATATATAGCCTATAATAATTGATCTTTCTGATTTTTATCTTGTTTTTCATAAATGTATTTTACAACAATACAAAGAGCAATGTGTAACGTTTTACCTGATTTAGTGCTACACTTATTGTCTCTTTGTTCCCCACTAAATAATGTTTTTTTCACTAAATGTTCAGTACAATTATTGTTTTTCTAGACTAAATTGTACTGAGTTATCCACTAATCTAGTTTATAATATAATTTTTGTCATAGGTTATGATCATATTTTTTTTTGATTTGTTGTTTTTATTTATAATGAAGTTGTCTGTATTAGATTGTGTTTAACACACAAAAGAGTGATTATCAGTTCAACACACAGAGTTATAGAAATTCTACTTGATTTAAAAAAAACTGCGCTGGTATTGGACCGGTATCGGTTGATACTCAGAATTTTTGGTATCGGATTGGATCGGTTCAGAAAAAATGATATCGGGACATCCCTAATATTTTCTGGTAGGCTATATCTAAGTTACCCAGGAGCTCTGTTGACATAGGCTTAGCTTGCATGAATTGAGTCGTTGAACACAGCAGGAGAGAACGCAACGTTAGCCAGCTAGGCTAGCTAAAGCTCCGGACGGTGGAAAATTATTAGCTAACGCTACGGAGGCCATAATATTTTTGACTCATGGCTGAAGTTAAGTTTCTCCAGCTCTCCAGGTTGGCAAAAAATGCATCTCAAAATGCATCAGATTGATGCTTTAAAATATGGAATATTAAAAAATTTCTTACGGGGGAGCATGCCCCCGGACCACCCTAGAGGGGTAATATCCTTCTCAACTTTTTCACCCCTGACCCCTTTTCATGCCTGCTATAGTTCCTTTTCCAGACTTATACAAGCACACTATTGGAGTGATTTATGTGTGTGTGTGTGTATAGATAGTTAAATAGATATAGATAAATATCTACACAGAATAGCCTATATACACTCACCGGCCACTTTATTAGGTACACCTGTCCAACTGCTCGTTAACACTTAATTTCTAAGCAGCCAATCACATGGCGGCAACTCAGTGCATTTAGGCATGTAGACATGGTCAAGACAATCTCCTGCAGTTCAAACCGAGCATCAGTATGGGGAAGAAAGTTGATTTGAGTGACTTTGAACGTGGCATGATTGTTGGTGCCAGAAGGGCTGGTCTGAGTATTTCAGAAACTGCTAATCTACTGGGATTTTCACGCACAACCATCTCTAGGGTTTACAGAGAATGGTCCGAAAAAGAAAAAACATCCAGTGAGCGGCAGTTCTGTGGGCGGAAATGCCTTGTTGATGCCAGAGGTCAGAGGAGAATGGCCAGACTGGTTCGAGCTGATAGAAGGGCAACAGTGACTGAAATAACCACTCGTTACAACCGAGGTATGCAGCAAAGCATTTGTGAAGCCACAACACGCACAACCTTGAGGCGGATGGGCTACAACAGCAGAAGACTCCACCGGGTACCACTCATCTCCACTACAAATAGGAAAAAGAGGCTACAATTTGCAAGAGCTCACCAAAATTGAACAGTTGAAGACTGGAAAAATGTTGCCTGGTCTGATGAGTCTCGATTTCTGTTGAGACATTCAGATGTTAGAGTCAGAATTTGGCGTAAACAGAATGAGAACATGGAACCATCATGCCTTTTTACCACTGTGCAGGCTGGTGGTGGTGGTGTAATGGTGTGGGGGATGTTTTCCTGGCACACTTTAGGCCCCTTAGTGCCAATTGGGCATCGTTTAAATGCCACGGCCTACCTGAGCATTGTTTCTGACCATGTCCATCCCTTTATGGCCACCATGTACCCATCCTCTGATGGCTACTTCCACCATGTCACAAAGCTCTAATCATTTCAAATTGGTTTCTTGAACATGACAATGAGTTCACTGTACTAAAATGGCCTCCACAGTCACCAGATCTCAACCCAATAGAGCATCTTTGGGATGTGGTGGAACGGGAGATTCGCATCATGGATGTGCAGCCGACAAATCTGCGGCAACTGTGTGATGCCATCATGTCAATATGGACCAAACTCCCTGAGGAATGCTTCCAGCACCTTGTTGAATCTATGCCACGAAGAATTGAGGCAGTTCTGAAGGCAAAAGGGGGTCCAACCCGTTACTAGCATGGGGTACCTAATAAAGTGGCCGGTGAGTGTATATATATATATATAGTTTTATATTCATTTTTTTTATATATTTAATATTCATGTATTATTTATTTGTGTTTCTGTGAATAGCTGTTGCAGTTCTACAAATAAAGCATTCTATCTTTTTACCTATCAATTAAATTAGCTACAAAAAATGCACCTGAATGCAGGAAATTAAGTGTTTAATGCCCAATGTTTCCTGGGGGAGGTCCCCCAGACCCCCCATTTATATTATTATTGCTTATTATTATGTGCCTCTGAGTAGAAGTAGTAGTTACCAAAAGCGGGGGTGGGTGGGTGGTGGGGTCTGGGCTAAGCCCCCAATGTATCAAGACCCTAGCAACGCCCCTGATATAAGAGGAGCCTCGTCCTACGTTGGGTCAGAGGTCACCCTCCCGCCGGAACTCAACTCTCTTGTGAATGCTCGTACGGCCTATGCAAAAACCCATCGCTTCGCTTCAGAAGACATTTATTAACCCACTGGAGTCGTATGGATAACTTTTATGATGGATTGATGCGCTTTTTGGAGCTTCAAAAACTTGGGCACTATTTAATGCCATTACAAAGCTGGGAAGAGCAAGGATATTATTTAATTCATATACACCTAGGATAGCTTGAGGGTGAGTAAATTATGGGATAATTTTCATTTTTGGGTAAACGATTCCTTTAAGAAGAGTTCACTGAAAGGTTCTTTGGAGAACCAAAAATGGAACCTTTATTTTCATGAATGTATAGATTGACGTTATCATTGGACAGCTATAACTCAATAATTTTGCCTGTTATTTCTATTCTAAGTGTTGGGGGAACCTTACGCAGTTGAATGATGAGTGCACAACGACAGATATTGAGATTATTGACAAGAACGAAACGGAAGAGCAACATCAAATTTTGGTAATGCAGCCCATCGACACCAGCTCTGAGCAACATGACAACATGTACTGCATCTACTCCTCTGAAACATCTGGTGAAAACACAGAACCACAATACTCTCAGATGGTGTTGGGGTATATAACCCTCTAAAACCACTGAGAGTGACTGAAATCATGTGACTTCTTTTCAGACTGATTGGTGTAAAACATTACAAACTTCATGAGTTGATCTTTATTGCTATCTAGAGACAAAACCTGTCTCAAGTTTGTGGTCATCACAGTTTGGAAGCTTAGCATGGCCTTGTTAGCCCCCGCTGGTAGATCATGTAACTACACAATATGATACAGATACAAAAAGCATCTTTCTCCATTGACAGCCACTCAAAATTAGCCATCCGATGCAACTAAAGTCTGCTTATGCTGCTTATTTCCAGGGCAAAGTCAAACAAGTGCCTTAGAGATGAATGCTAATGGATATTTTTCTCTAGGCATAGATCTCATTGCTAAAGTCTGTGATTAGGATTATGGTTAAAGCAAGCTGGAGCAAAGAACATCATTCAAGCATATCTGTAACAATGTGAGTGCAATGCAATAATTGGACAATGGAGGGCACTCTGACTATCCTGAAGTGTTAAAGAGTTGAACATATCAAAGCCAACACACTCTTCACAGCATCACAGCCCTCTCTTAAGGGAGGATGTACGTTAATTTGAAGACTGATTTAAAAGATTAATGTGAAACTGCATAATAGATGTAGAATTTCAGTGTGATGGCGTAACAAAGCCAGGGCAGCAGCCACACACTCCGAACTGTTGTGATTGATGAACTGGAAAGTGGGTGAGTGAGAATGAGCAAATAATCATTAAAAGATAGAAGCAACAGTGAACAGCACACAGGTGGATAACTAAAAATGAAAATATACACTGTTTCAGTCATACCTGTTGCAGCTTATAAAAATTGACCAGTGTTATTTGTGTGCAGAGTAATAGTATTGGCTGTATAAACAAGGCAAATATGTACAGTCGAAACAAAAAGTATGAGACAACACAATTTTTTGTTTTTATTAAAGCAGAACATAAGACAAAACAGTTATATACAGATACCATCAATACAAAACACATAAAACAGAAACTAGGATGTACGTGTAAATTATGTGAAGTGTGTGTGTAAAATTGTGTTGAACGTGTATATCTCTTTTACAAGTTTCCTAGTATATATGTAGAACAATGCTTATTATATATACAAAAGATATATAATGATCAAAGATGTAATAAGAAAAAAAAAGAAGACAAGTAAATTATCAGAGAAATGGTGGGGTTGTTGAGAGAAGATGAAAAAGAAGAGAGAAATAAATAGGTACATAAATTGCAAAAGAAAAAAATATTTTAAAAAAAGAAAAAAAGTAGGAAAAAACGCTTTTTACATTTAAAGCTGGAAATAAAGGTTATTATTATTATTATTAAACCTAGAAAGAAAGTTTTTGAAAACCTTTGAAAGGACAAATAATAAAAAAATAAATCTGCAGTTTTCTAGGTCATTGATCAAACACATTTGTCACAATCATGTGTTTCCGTTGTACCAAAGGTCAGATTTCAAGCTTCCATAGAAGCACAAGATGCTATTTGGAACATTTTAAAGCACATAATCTTTAGGTTTTTCCACAAACTTTTATGCAGCTCGAGTGCTGCTGTCATTAAAGCAAAATACAAGGACATAAAAAAAAAAAATGCTATTTCACTCAAACTGCTATGCTGATAAGGGTGCAAAATAAAAGCATTTTACACATGGATTCAGATGGTGGATGGTTAGGCCCTACTGTACATGCATTTGACACAATACCCACAGAAAATCCCTTGATTCTCTCTGGTTTTTTTTGTTCTGTTTTTTTAAATCAAATTACCATAAATTAAACTTTCATTATTTTTATACACTGTGTAAAGATTTGCTCAAAAAGAACCGTGGTTGTGCTTTATACTTTTGTATTTAATAAACACTGCTTTTTTTGTCCAACGGTGTGTCGCTAACTGTTTTTATGCAAACCCACTGCCAGGGAAGGATGTGATTAAGGCCTAGCCTGGTCTTGTACAAGACCGAACAAGATTCCCGTGTGAACAGCTGTACGATAAACCGACGATTGATAGAAATGATCTTTTAGATAGAGTGGTGGGGAATTACCTTGCAAGTAAAAAAAACGTTGATCAATACAATAGAAAAAGTTTACTCAGAATAATAAATGATATGAGATAAGATGAACCACTTTCACATATGTCATTTTCCATCTTCACCTCTTAAGGAGAAACTCTTTTCTGAGAAGGGGGACTGGAGGTGGTACACTCTCAGAAAAAAGGTACAAAAGCTGTCACTGTGGCGGTACCTTTTCAAAAGGTACACCTTTGTACCTAAAGAGTACCTATTAGTCCCTCAAAGGTACATATTGGTACCAAAAGTGTACATATTAGAACCTAAATGGTACATATTAGAACCCTTCTGAAGGGTACTGTCCCAGTGACAGCTTTTGTACCTTTTTTTCTGAGAGTGGGTTTGTACTTCATAGGCCTACATGATAATTCAACGCTATCTCACGACCAATTCGTCCGAATTTGACGAGTGATTAAAAGATGGCTAATTCGTACGAATTCGTACGTACGATTTGTCTAAACCCACGTGATGGGTAGGTTTAGGGGCGGGGTCAGGGGTAGGTCATTCGTACGAATTCATATGAATTGGGCAACTCGTCAAATATGTACGATTTAGCAAAAATCGTACTAATTCGTACGAGTGAGGTCGTACGAATTGTTACGAATTAGCCATCTTTTAATCACTTGTCAAATTCGGACGAATTGGTCGTGAGATCGGGTTGGATAATTGCGCATATGCTGCCCGCTCAAATAACCAATCAGAGGTAGCTAGTCACCATTGTGATAGTTTTATAAGAGTTCACACCAGCTAGAGTCTTCATACCTCCTCCAGCTTACATAAGAGAAGCAACAAACAGCTTGCTCGATTAATAAATTAAGTATGCTAAATATAGCTTACAGTCATGTTTCAGAGCTATTTAATGATAATCAACATTCCAACAATTACATCTTTACACTTTTAATTATACATTGTGCTTTTCTGTCTGGCAAAAGGGAATGAATCGTGTTCCCTGGTGAATTGTTCTCCAAAGCATTAAGCAAAAATATGTGGGTCTATCTGTTATGATTTTTGCTCTTAAATACCAGGAAACACACACACACACACACAACAGAGATCAGCCTTGCTGGACTAAAATGTTTTATTTATTGTAATGCTTTAGTGGGGGAAGACCCAGATCATGCATTCATTATCATAAAGGCCCCAAGACATTCCGCACAAAGAGCGAGACGAGTTTTGCGCCTTCTACGGCACCTAAAGAATGTGCAGGTGGAGGAACGACGTGACAGAAGATGACAATGTCAAAGAACCGCCATCTCTAGCACGTAAACTGTCCCTGAAGCAGACACTTAAGGGAGATGTAAAACGCTACACATCTTGCCGTTGTTTTCACTCTCATCAGCTTGTTTTTACTATGCTACGTTGAATGTGTCAGGGCCCCCAGGCGGTAAATGGTGGATGACAAATGTTACTGCAAGCAAACCCACTGGAGGCTGACCATATTGTACCTGTGCCAGGATTCTTGAAGCTCCTTTTTATCAAAAAGCTCAAAGCTGGAAGGAGCGCCTCTTTTCTCACCTACTAGTCTGTTCCGGGTTGCATGTGAGCTTGCGCTCGGTGGATGCACAGTAAAACAGATGTTGAAGATTCTCGCAAAGACTCAATAAAAAAGACTGTGGAGGAATAGAGCCTCTTTTCTATTCAATTATTTAGAGTTGAAAAAAGAAACAACAGTATCAACATGTTTCCTCTGAAGCCCAAGCGTTCAGGAGGAATGAATAACATATTTATATAGTAACTCATGCCAAATAGCTGCAAACGGAAATAAATACCTTCTAAAGGATTATGGATCTGTGTGATCGCCTTTAACCTCCGATCACAAATATTAAATTGCACAAAAAACTGTCAAAAGCACTTTTTTTTGCTACCAAATATATATTTTTCCTTTCTAGCATTAGAGAGCAAACTAGAGAATTAATTCTAGAGAACAAACTCCACCCTGTTGCCATTTAATTATATTAAAGCTTAAAACAGTGAAAGCTTCCACACCTCTTACAGGCATATTTTAACTCTTTGCTCTTGTGCGCTTGATAACATAAAAAGGTGTCACTGCCAAGCAGTGGGGTAATGCTTCTAATTATGTTGAACTCATAATAAATAAATTATTTACTTTTCACCGGGTGAGCGTGACAGGTTTGCCAACAGCCTGACAAATGGAAGAATCACTTGCAAATGCAACGCGCGTACTGTATATAACGTGCAGCGGTAGAGAGACTCAGACAGGGCAAGAGTTTGACAGCCGTTCCCCCCCCCCTCCTGTGTTAGTCTCAGTGCTCCACTCAAAATAAAGCTCTGTTTAAGGACTATAAGGTCTGTGTTGCAGTAAGCCTGATTGTGCCAAGCCTGATCTGGTATTCATTAGTGCTTATTACTTGTGACCTCACCTGCAAGTCGAGCCTGTCACGATTAAGCCGGTTCCTCGGGCACTTGCGAAGACTCTCCTCTGAGGTTATGGAAGACGACACCAGACAGACAAATTACACAAACCGATGGTTTCGAACGATGAAGCAAGTTGTCATTGGGCTGTTGCATTGATTAAGTCTACAGTACGAAAAACAGAGACAAAGAGATAGGTATTTTGGCAGGGGCTTTCCAAAGAAACCATTGTGTCTGTGGGAGGAAGGATCTGATTATTAGTTTTTGCCACTAGCACAGATGAGAGGAGGAAGTCTCAGCGGAGAATAAGGAGGAAGCGTGGTAGTGGGCGGGGAGCCGGCAGAGAGCTGATGTTGTATTCAGCGATCTCCAAAGGTCAACCTAAAACTGTACTGTTGTTCCTCAAGGATGAATGGCGTACATTCATTATATAGGCGCTCTGTTTCAGACCCTGTAAACTGCCTACGTAGGCCGTGTTGTAAGGCATCATAGGCCAGCTCCCGACACTGAGGCTGTTCCAAAAGGTTGGCAGAATGATTATGCTGCTTTCTAAGATGCCTACTTTTGGTATCTTAAGCAAAGAATGAAATCCCATAATGCATTGTGAGCTCTGTGAAAAAAATATCCATGATGGTGGACGAAGCAAGAAGAATTACAGATAAATTATTCTATACCAATTGTATTGATAAGACATAAAATTAAAAACGACAGATTAAAAATTAAAAACGTACCAATATTTGTGTTATTTGGGGGTTTTGCTCAAGAGTATCTTGTCTTTAGCTTAGCAACATGCTAATGACATACATTCTGTGAAACAAAGATGGCAGAATTAATTAAATAAGTCATTCACTATCGAAAGTATTAAATAATTGTTTAATTTAATTAAAAACGACTAACTTACCCATTATGTGTGTTCTATGTATTTTTATGATCATTTGAGTATCATTCTGTTAGCTTAGCAACATGCTAACTGGTACTCGACATCTGACAAAATCCAGACAGAGACTCTCCATCTCTGTCTCAAATCTCAAATAAAGTCCAAGACTATATTTTCTGACTAGTTGAGTCCAAATGCACCAATATAGGCGTGGACTTGAGATGGAGTTGGCAGAGTTCAGATTTGTCTGGTCTTAAGTACTACAACACTAATGCTAAAACTGAGCTCTTCCCCTGCTCTTTGTCTGAGGGACCAGAAAATAAAATATTCTAAATTATCCCAAGCTGGTTTGCTGGTTTTAGAAGGTCTCCCAGTCTGGTCTGTTGACTTGTTTCAGGCACTTTTCAGTCAGACTATAGTTAAACTAGTTAGACAGTTATTTTTTCAGCTATTTTTATGCAGCTCACTAGATTTTGAGTAGAGGGC